TTGTAACAAACCAGAAGCCACTACTGTAATCACTATTTGTCTTGCATTTTTTATCCTTTCTATTATGTGCAGTATTTCACCAGATTTATTTATCTAAATAAATACAAAATTCAAATTAGATTTATCAACATAATAAAAAAACGCAGGAATTTCCTAAATGTTTGATTACAGACTATAGATATGTCAATGTAAAGAATCTGCAGATTTGGAAACTCCCAAAAGCTTGATTTGATAACATAGTACAATAGATTTGAAAAAGGTCCTTGACTGCTTTCATGCAGTTTTCATTCACTTTCAACTGATATTTTGTATTGCACATTTTAAAATTCAAACAAGAGAAAAAGCAGTAATCACTAGCTTGAATTCAAAGCTAAAATTTGATGTGAAAGCTAAGGATGTACACAATGCACAGTGTAAAGTTGCAGTTGTTGTCTGCTTTTGTCCTGTATATGTAATTTTGATCAAAAAAGAAGCAGATTTTTGTGCCAATTTTGTATCATCTCTGTTTCTGAAAAACATAAATACTTTTCAAGAAGAAATTTTAAATATGTACATTTGAATTTTAACTAGATCAGTTTGTAAAGTGTTAAAGAAAAGCAGGCTTTAAATGTTTATTAATTTTCATTATTATTTTTGTATTCTTTTTTAACATGTTTTGCAGGAATATGCATAATGTGAACCCAAACCTAATTTTATTCTTAACCTTAAAACCAGGTCTTAACCCTCATAGGGGCCTTTGAATTTGTGTGGAGTAGCCAAAATGTCTGATGACTGAAGAACAGGATCACTTTGTTTGTTTGAACCACAACTGCCTTTAGTTATAAACCAAAACAGCCAAAGTTTTCTTACAATGCTGAAAATTAATGCCATTCAGCCATAACACAGTCTGGCTCAGGCACCTGCCAAGGCAGATTACTGTGCGTCTGAGATTACCATCATAAATCTTTACAGTTTCGTTTGTTTGATGTGATGTAGACCATTCTAACTTGGTATTAAGACAGGGGCCCTGTAGAGGCTCAGAAACACATGTACTTCCTGGTCGAGTGTTTGACTTGGCCTGTGACTGCCACATATGGTAAAACAGAACAGATTATGGCTGAGAGTTTTTAAGGAAGTGATACATTATTAAGATGAAATTAATATGTAACAACCCCTAATGTTTTCAAATGGTAGATTCATGTCATTATTTGAATTGAAAGAGATTAAAAGCAACCATTTGATTTCAATGGTACAGAATCCACATGTATTAAGTGGAACTGGATTACACAGCCTGCATTTCACTGCTGAGCATAAGGAATGCATAATAAATGTAATACAGCTGTGACAAGCTGTGGGTGTAGGCGGGCTGGCAGTCAGCTTGTCTGTACAGCAGTTCACCTACTGCCCTGTGAGTATAGTCACTCTGTCAGTGAGCATCTATATCTGAATAGTTCATGAAGAAGTATCACTTTCTGATGTGACTAAGCCTTCTGGCTGCATGCATTGTTGAAAGAACACCATGGTTTTATGTGTGCACAACCTTAACCCTGCAACACTGCAGTACTATATATTTAGTACTGCATATCCTGTATATGTGTGTGCATGTCTGTGTGCCTGAAAATGAGCTTGTATCTATTCGCAAAGGAAGCAGAAAATCTCAATATTTTTTGAGATCTCTGCATGAAATTGTAACACTTGCCAAGTGTTTAGACAAGGAATTATTAATCTCTAATTAAGGCCAACAAGCTGGAATAGGTTCGGCTACTGGAGCAATGTGTGGTGTTCAAATGAATCTCACAAGCCATATGTTTAAACACTTTCTTACTGTATTTGAACGTGTGCACATATACAAAACAATTTAGATAACTAAAATAATGAAAAATATGGAAAATGAATAAACCAAAATAACAAAAGCTTAACCATGTTAAGTCTTTTTTTTCTTCACAGACCAATATCAAAAAAACTAAGTAATCCCTCCTCCTTGTGAGGAACAAGTAAATCTTGAATAATGGTTTACGTAGGATACGTTTCCTTTTATGTCTGCACTATCATAGGGTGCACCCAATCTAAATCTGGTATCCAATGTGGAGTGGAATCCACTTGGATAATTTTCAAATCCAAATCCTTTTCGAATCAATCAATCATACAAGAATCCAAAGTTTACAATACCGGTAACACCATAATAACATTGTCTCTTCAGTGCATATACAGTTTCATCAGTACTAAAGTAGTTCAGTCCAAGGAAACAATAAAAGTCAAATCAACACTCCAGAAGTCCAAATAAGTCCAGTCTCAGTATGATGATGAAAAAATATACTGCACCAGACAAGTTTTCAATTGGTGCTAATTATTTGTCTTCCTTTCCCTCACGACTGTATCCATAGTCGCTATGTCATATATCCAATTTCAATATTAAAGTGTCTTTGGCCTTTTCTGCTCACACTACCCAGGTACACTCCCAAAACTTGTATCTCTTTTAATCTCCGTCCATACTCCGTTTTTCTGTTCTGCCACACCCCTGACTCTACCCAAGGGCGGAACCTGTGAGGCGTATCTCACCTGACCCTGACAGTTCCTGATTGGTTTTCTTACTTATCAATCATCTTCTACTTATTTCTTTTCCCATATGACAGTGGAAAATGCACAACCCTTCACAATAAAGTTACCTCTATGTATCAGTTTTCTTTTTGTTTTTTTCAATAACCACAACATCAGGTGGGTTACAAAATCATGAATGAATTTATCTTAGTAAAGTTATTGTTGTGATTTGGACTTGCTTCATGTTTTCGTGCTTTTATTTAGGGTTGTTTTTTCCCGTTCTGCTCCACTTCTCTTGCCCCAGCTTTACCACAGTTCTCATCAGCATTCATTGTCTTTGCCTGTTGCCAATAATCTCCTGGTTTTCAGCCATTTATACCACCTCCTTTCCCTCAGTCACTCGCAGTCAGCTCTTGCCTGTTATTCATGCCACAACCTGGCTAGCTCCAGCATCAGCCACACTCACTCACCCTGCAACGCCATGCAGACCACTCCAATCTTGCAATATTCACCTACCTAAAACTCCTCACCATCGTCCGGTCACTCCTGAACCTGCATCGATGCCGCTCAACTCCTCAACGACCTACTATGCCACACAGACCACTTCAGCCCTGCAACCTCTACCTACCTGAAGCTCCTCATCACCACCCGGGTACTCCTGATCCTGAATCTCCTCCCCCACCTGCTGTGCCAGTCCAGTCCAGTTTTCCTTACCTTCATTACTCACCAGGATCATCTCACTGCCTCCTGAGGTCTATCCTAATCTGTAGCCATCCAGCTCTCCCCATCTGTTTCCTGTGACGATGAAACAATCAGCTCTCAACCAGCTGCCACTACTCACCTGAGCCTCCTCGCATCAGCTGGAGTGTTCCCAGCTTCAACCTGATATCTTTTGCTCTAGCGCTTGTAATAAAGCACTGAACTGGTGTCTCTACACCATAACAGTTATGGAGCCAGCCACAGTCTCTGGTGGATTATACCCACAAACTCCCCAAGAACCACAGACCAAGAGTACTAAAGATGGATAAAACAAAGAAAAAGAACAGTTGATGCCAGTCATTACAGCCACCATTATAACACTGCTTTTCAACACCAAAGAAAGAGGAAGCAGGGGCAAGGAAAAATCACTGAAGAGAGACAATGAGAATGTTGCACACCAGCCTGCTGGCAGGGTCTCTATGGGAGAGCAGCATGATAAACAAGAGTGTGAATAAATAGTGTGGAACATCAGAGAGATGTGTGATAGAGATTAGGATATAGATCATGGTGGCCTCTGTGGCACAGAAAGACAGCAGAAGAGCCTTGAGGGTGGAGCTCAATGACAGACATGCAGACAAAAGCAGAGGCAAAAAATTGGTATGTTACAAGCATCTTTAATATTGGCAAGCCTCCGGAAACATACATGGAGCATGGATGACTTCTGCAGTGCATAAAATCACTTTAGACAGGCAAACACATACTGTATACGGTATGTAAACAGAAAGGACACACTTGACCGTTTATAGGAAATGGTAGCAGACTTTGTATACAGATCGGATATGAGACAAGGGGAGACAACAGGCGTCATTATGTCATTATCCAATCACAGCAGCCCTTGTTGTCCTCATATCTAATTGTTCCAGGAGACATGGCTCCACCATTTTCACGTACCTCATAAGAGCCAAGAATGAAAACTCTGAAAGAACTGTGTTCTCCAGTGTGTGGGAGCATACAGTACACATGCAGACATAACAGCATTAATGTCAGTCAAGTCATAAGAGCTGGGTATTGTTTGAATGTAGTGTCTCTATTATACTTACATTTCTGTGCCAATTTTATTTGGCAGCAATGTTTTATCATCTCTAGAGGTTCATGACAAGTTTGGTTCTGTCACTCTGCAAATAAAATATAGATGGGCCATTGTAAAGTTGAAATAAATCACTAGAGATTTTTGTATTGCATCATTAGCATTCATCTGGAGCTGTGTTTCGGTCTAGTAGTCACTCTCTATAGCTGAGAGTCTGAGTAGCAGTTGTTCATAGGTTTGTCATGGTGACTTACAATTTTTACCTTACACATAGTAATTTCATCTATGTTAACATAAAAATATTTAATAGAGCAGCTTTAATTTTAAAACATTTAATCGAAGAATAAGGTAAGAAAGCTAAGAATCTGACCAAGGATTTAATGCCAACTTTCAAAACAATAGCTTTCAGTGTTTAGAGCTGCATTCAGCATCCATAAAGTATTGAGCTTGATACCCACCCTTACAAGGAATGAACAATGGCAACCCTCGTAGCACAAATACTGACCCCAACCTCTCCCCTCAAACTTTGACTACTAGCATTGATATGCAGGACCTCAAAGTAACATTTACATGGACAGAATATAAGACCCACACATTATTCCCTCCATCCTTCCATGGTGTGAATCCACCACCCCAAATAACCACCCACTCACTAAGCTTACAGCTGCCAGAACAAATTAATGCGAGTTTAAAGCGAGCTCACATACAGTGTGTGTGATAACATCGTGAGTGCCAAACATTTGTTTTCATTTTTCCGGTTGGTGTGTGAGAACATTCAGTAAGCCTGCCAAATAAACACCACAGTTATAACACACAAGATTATCTAATTATTAATCTAGTGCAGAAGAGACACCCTTCTCTCTCTGTTTGTCTGTCTCTGTAACACTCTGACATCCCAAGTTAACAGCTGAAACCAGAGAGTTGGAAAAATTCATCCATGTCTAAAAAGACAAAATCAGAAAATCTCTAACTTTGTGGCTGTGCTGTTTGTCAGAAACAGCCTTGTGATAAACAACTCTTTAGAAGCACAGTTTGAGGTACAACCAAAATGACTGTTCAATAAAGGCCTTATGAATATTAAACCAGGCCAGAAAATAACAAGAACCATTTGTAACTTACTGGTGGGAAAAGACTGAACCTTTTTAACAGAACTGAAAAAGTATAACCCCAAAAATTTTGTCCTGAAAAATATCTAAACTACTGCACCACTGTGGAGCTACAGCTTGGTAAAAAACTAGTAAACCACAGATGCAAGAGGAGATCTTCCCAGCAACAGTGGGAATGGGTGTGCATTTCTGTGTGTGTAAATAGGCCTGTGGTGCTAAATCTGCTGAGGTGTGTGAAGTGTGTCTTTTCTTGGCTAAGAGTCCTGTGGCCTACTTTCTCCCTCTCACTAGGGGAGGTATTTGTTCCCACAGTGAATCACCTTCCCAATCCAGGTCAAGACATTTGCAGACATGCACACACACCAAAGCCAAACCTTAAGTGCTTTTTGCTACAGCTCTGCTCTGCTGAAAAGTAGCGGCTCAGGTTAACTGCTGCCCTAGGGAGGTTACAAAGTGAAAGGTGTGGGCATTTCTAGTACACTGTGTAAACATCCAGTGAAGTCTTTTTCTCAGTTTGGAACCAACACTGAAGTTGTTTTGGACAATATTTGAGTTGAAATTAATAAATGAAAATTGCCTCTAAGTGGCCTTTAAAAATATATCATTAAGATTGACAAAACAACTCTTATACCAACTTTTAAGTTGTTGCCTTTCAAAATGAGCCAAAATGAGCCTTGATTTTTGTTTTTAATATAATTTCTTTTACATACAATATGCGCACCTTGATTTTCTTGGTTTCCAGATGAATGTTCATTACTTTGATCATCATATGACTTTTTCTCTAGCTCCACCATGAAGTCAAACCTTTTCTTTGTCCAGTACTTTGGTTTACAATTATACCTGCAAAATAATGACATTTTCATATTTTTCAATGGCCTCAGCTGTACCTTGTGTTTAGTGATAATCAGCCAGCATGCTAATATACTAAACTAAGATGGTGAACTTGATAAACATGATAGTTAAACCCTAGCATGTTGTCATTGTTAGTGTTAGCATGCTAATGTTAGCATTTAGCTAAACTACTGACGACTAATGACCATGACTAATTACAGCCTGGCAGTACCTTTAGCTTGGCTAGAGACAGTAAAAAAAATATCAGAAAAAAACATTTGGCTGGATTTATATTAAAATGAGAGAGGGAGCTTTAAGGTCTAAACTTTCTTTTTCATGATGCCTTTTGTAATGCCTTCTTGACTTATGTTTTGCCTTGTTCATTTTTACCCCCTCTATTCCTCTTCAACATGGCTGCCATCAGTAGCACATTCTGATATATCCAGAAGCTCTGATATTATTTAAATTTATACCATGGCAAAATTCTCAAGTAGAAGAGACAGTATGACCGAGAACAGAAACAAACTACATCCACATTCTCATTCATACCTTGAATGTTTGTTTGTTTCTGTGTCTCTCAGGACTATGAATACCCCAATCACCCCCAGTCCACACAGCACCAGAAAAATGACAGGTGTCCCCCACCACCCCAGATGCTCCCAGAGCGAGCCTGTGAGGTACCAGGCTGCCGCTCAGACTCAGAGTGTGAGCGCCATAAACGCTGCTGTTACAATGGCTGCATTTACGCCTGTCTGGAGTCTGTTCAGCCGCCACCAGGTGAGCAGAACCAGCCAGCAGATGGTTACACAAAGCGTGTTAAAGTTGACCTGTAAGTAAATGGTCTTATACTTATATAATGCTTTTCTATGCAATGAGGTACACTCAAAGTGTTTTACACTATTTCCCATTTGCACACACAAGCATTCACACACTGATGGCACCTCCAACTTGGGGTTCAGTGTCTTGCTCAAGGATACTTCAACATGTCGACTGGAGAATCCGGGATTTGAACTACCAACCATCCGGTTAGGAGATGACCCGCTCTACCTCCTGAGCCACAGCCGCCGCAAGAGAAGAAAAAATGGGCCCTTAAATTGCTTTGAACAACAAAATTATTATTGACATGTATTTTTTTCAAAGTGGTAACCATTCTGCTTCAGCACTGTAAGGAAATGGATTTCCCACTTTCAAATTTTGACAATTCCTATTTTAAAAGCTCAGAAAACAGATAAGCTTTGAAACTCATAATATCTTTTCCTCAGAACAATATGCATAACATTTCGGCATGTGTTTGTTTTGAACAGTGCTGGACTGGCTGGTGCAGCCCAAGCCTCGGTGGCTTGGAGGTAACGGCTGGCTGCTAGACGGCCCTGAAGAGGTTCTGCAAGGTGAGTATACACACTCGACCAGTCAGTGAGGTCAGAGAAAATACTTGTAACCATCATTAGGGTCTCAAAAACAAGAAATGACTCTGTTGTATTTCATGTTTGGGATTTCTTCTAATATTTTCTGCCTCTTAGCTGAAGCCTGCAGTACAACTGAGGATGGAGATGAGCCACTCCACTGTCCCACAGGTTATGAATGCCACATTATCAATGCAGGAAACCCTGCTGCTGGCATCCCCAATCGGGGTCAATGTATCAAGCATCGTGGAAACTCTGGTATTTCTGATAACTCAAATAGATTTTAAATCCAAATGTTTAATGCATGTTAATGTTGTCTTCTACCTTAATTTCCCATTAGAGCTACCCCCTGTCTATCTGATCTAATGGACCTTATCTTGTGCTCTTTTAGTTTGTCCCTACACCAGGGACAGGGACAGGATGCAGGGCTTAAGTCTTGTCTGGTTTCTCCTGGCATATATAATGAAGCCAAGTGCTGAGTTTCTCTTTTAAATGGGTTAAAAATATACAAATTGGCAACTCAGAGGAACACCTCGAGATGTACAGCCATTGGCAGAATGTTTAAATAGATTTAATAAAGAGAACATGAGCTTTTTGGTTTCTCTAACTCTTTATTGCCATTTAAGCAAGAATTACAGTGTGTAGTATATGGGAATCAGATCTTTTTTTTTACAATATGTGGGTAATTGTATTTACAGATGGACATTTCTTGAGGTACAAATACTTTAAGGACTACTTGGGTAAGTGAGGTAATGCAGAAAACTTGAAAACCTGTATGTTAACTGAATGAGAAATAACATCTATCTGTCTGACATTGTTTTTTTTTTCAGGTATCAGTTCTAACAATGCAGTCAGCTATGACAAACATCACAAGTACCTGGGATAAAGGACATTTTCAGCCACTTTCAACTGTCATATTAAAAACCAAATACCTGTTTATCCTTACCTCTCTTCCACAAAAGCCTTGTTTTTTTTTTTATGTTACCAAGGTCAACCTTGACCCCAGCCTCAGCTTCAACCATAACACAGCGTCAGACATCAGCCCACTTCTGTTCGATCTCATCACACCTGAACTAGCAAAAAGTCTGACTTTTTTTGCTACACTTAAAGCTGCTACCTCCTCTTTGCAAAGCTTCAACTTGCAGCCTCTATTCAGTCATGGCATGCTTTTGGAGACAGGTCTGATGTCAGACACACCTACAGTACGAAGCCAAAGAATGCTTTTTTTTGTCTCTGATGTCTGTGAAATGAAGGTGCAGAGGGTGCTGATGGTACACAGAGGAGGACGCTTAGATTACACAAAAGCTGCTTATCAAATCTTTCTTTCTTTCTTTCTAACTCAGTAAAACCCCAGTACCACTCACTCTCACACACAGACACACTCTCTAACCTTAAGGCTGACTAGCAGAAAAAACCAAGACCAAGTGACCCTGTTACTCATCCTCTGAAAGATGTTGCTTTTCTCAAATCTGGAAGGTTTTATAGACAAATAAGAAAATTAGAGCTGTAGTTGTTGCATTTTTGAAACAAATCCAAACATGAGTAAACATTCTGACTAATAACACCAGTTATAAGAATAAATGCCATATGAGTTTCGAGGGTATTGTTGGTTTTGGAGGATTTGGAACAGCTGTACAACAAATGCTGACCATGACTTCATTGCATCTGAAATAAGTCAAACTAGTTCACTCAAGGGTTTGGGAGAAATTTTGAGTAAAACAGATATTTCACTTGTGAAGGAGGAAAGCTTTAACAGCTTTTAAAAGCCACTTTTTAATAAGCCTAGAGAGGGCAAGTGCTGACAAGACTGATTTGGGGCGGATTGCCCCTTCACGCTTAAACTCTCTAAATATCCTGTAACAAATTTACTGAATTGACATTTTTAACGCAACAAGTCATACAACAAACATCCACCAGTGCAGTACTGTATGTCAACCAAAACAAAATAATCCAGTCTGTTAAACTGTCACACCACCACAATCCTTTGTTTTTGTACAGACATGAGAATAGACGGGCCTTTTGCACAGAGTAGATGGTCAAATTGTCTCCTGTGTTATTCTTAAACAACTTTTTGAAGTCAGCTGTTTAATTTAAGTTGTGTCTGTTGTGAGTTCAAATGGTGCTCAGTTTCTGTGGTGCCTATAGTAACAGAAGAATAAGCTGGTCAGATGACAGTGTAAAACAAAAGCTGTAGCCATTCTCTGTTTCCAAAACTAAAGTGATTTCTGAATGTTGCTATCTGACTGGTGCTGTAATGCTTTTTCATTCTGAATAAATCACACTGTGTGAGTTTTGTGATGTTTTTGTTGCAAATAATCTTAGGCTTCCAACCTACATTGATAATTTACAAATGATGATTTCATATAAAAAGCAGGCTTGGAAGTATGGAGGTTTGAGTGGGTTAAAGTTTGTTTTTTTTTTCTAAGTTGGGATATCAGTAGTGTACAACACAGAGCATGTGCGTCATTACAAGACGCAAGCAGCTGCTCTCAGTAGATGCAGTGTGCCCCTTCAAAATGTGACATGTGTTTTCTTCTTTGTAGCTTTGACACAGTATGACTCACTACTGAAGTCCATTTTTTAAGCTCCCTTTTATATTTTTATATCATAAAGTGCTATCAGATCCTTCCAGTAAAGTCATATATTATATTATATTGCATGCATGTCATATCTTTTGGCCACTTGTGCTGCAAGTTAGTTATTTTCCATTATCAATCATTTTCTCAAAGGACCTTTTCATAGTTTGGTGTATAAGATGTCAAAAATATTAGAAAATGTTTATCAGAGGTTTATACAACAGAAGATCTTTAGATGATCTTCAACAATTCAAAATCCAAAAGTATTCAGCTTATAATGAAGGTCTCACTGGAGAAGCTACAGTAGAGCCAGAGAATGGTTTGTGTTTTTGCTTAAACAGTGACTTAAATGGTTGATTGATTGTCTAAATAAATGGAGAATAATTCTCTCTGGATTGTCTAATCTCTTAATTGAGTTATACTTGTTACCTTAAAAGAAAACAGTCACTACACTGTTAGATCATGACCTTGATTACTTTTTTTGTGCACTTGCTGACCTGCATTAGAGTATTGTTTCTCAGAGTAGACCCACACACCTGGCTCAGGTTTTACCCCCACACAGTGTGGAATAGGGAGTGTACTTCCCCATTATTCTGATGAACTCTGCCCCTGATAGGATTTCTCATCATAGCTTTGTCACTCGTTGACACCGGACCCCCTGATTTAAAGCAGGTCATCTGGAGAGAGGGCTCATCTCAGCTGAAAATGGCTGATATCAGTGTCACAGAGCACAGGCTTCACACTGCCACAGTACTGTGCATTGGTGACCGAGACTAAAATATATTATAACCCCTATAAGCTTGCAATATTTTCTAATGACCTCTCTGGCTTCTGCCATGCACATGTGTGAATAAGACTGTGCTGCCATGTGTGCAGTTTAAGGTGTTTGTGCAGTTGATTATGCATGCTTGCAAGCCATCAGAAAGGCCTCTGGCTTGTCATGGCTGTTACATGGCCCATGCTTCTCAACATGTGAATCTCCATGTCCTCTTAACACCATAATAGATCCAGGTATAGCAGCATCCTCGGTACTGTGGATGACTGTTATCCCTCCTACTGCTCCACGCAGGAGTGTGACATCTTGGGCATTGTTTGACTTTTGTCCTGTCAAGTCTGAACCCAGTCTGAGCTGACATGTCACAGCTGCAGGTTTTTATCGTGAGGAGATGTCGTGGTGCTGCTCTAGAGACGACAGCTGGACGGAGATACTCCCACAGTCTGATAAATATTAATTGGATTTACAAAGAATGCTAGGTAAACACAGCCACCCAGGGAGATTTGTTAATGAGTACCTGGCTGAGTTGCATGAAAGGTCTGTTTTCCTTTAACAGTGAGTCATGCGATACAGAGCTGCTAAACAGGGTATGCCAACGTCCTCCCCCATCACACCCTTATATTTCCATCTCCATAAGCTCCGGAGGAATGTTGTGTAATAATGTGTGAGATCTTATCTAAAATATTGTTATATAAGAAGATTCAGCTGTTGTTGCCTTGTTAGGCTCACAGTGTGCTTCATAGCATGCACAAGATTTCACAGCTCTGTTTTTTATTTTTGGAGAACATTACCAATATTGTTTCTAGAACAGCAAGTACTTCCACCTCTAACACTAAGAATAATAATTGCATAAATAAATTGGCTGTTTAACCTATGTTATGAAAACAAACAGATGTCAAATAAAATGAAAAAAATCATCAATTGTTTACAGTTTTGTTTTATTTTGTAGTTTTTATTCCAACTAAGTGTTTAGAAAAGTGCTATATAAATACATTTCTTCTCCATATTATTATTATGATAATACTCTCTCCTCCACTTGCCCCCACTCATAAAGACCGACAACTGTGTTACATAAGTGTGATCAGTATAATCAGGATAAATTTAGTAGTCATGTCTGTGTTTGTCTCATAGGCCAGTGTATGTCAGTATTTGCTGTACCTGTAACCTGTGTTGAATGAAACAGGCCTGAATGCCAGTCTGGTACATTACACCTGGCCCTGGGGTAATAAAGCCATTAATGTCTCCTTCACAGACTGAATCTGCCATCTGTACTTTGAAGGTGCTGCCCGGAACAATTCTGCAAATTTGTACACATTTTTACAGTTTGAAGGAAGTGCATTGTCTGTGTCACTTCAGCTCAGACATAGGGCTTTTTGCATCTAGGTGGCAACAAATAGGGGTCATTATGGGGTCAGAAGAAAGGCTGACACTTCTCAGCTTACCTGGGTGCCAAAACTCACCTTTGCCCATCACTGCATTAGGACCAAGTAGACAAGCATGGCGTTGGATACCAGCAGTGGTGGACTACATCGCTCACTTACTGAAACTTAGCTGGCTTTGACAATAGCAGGATGATTTGAGGAAAGTACAAAGAAAATGGATGTAGTCCAGGAACAGTGAAAATGGAAAATGAAATGTGGAAACTTGCAGTGTTGCCTAGAGGTTTTAGTTCATTAGGGGGGCTCTTCAGAATCATGGAAAGACAAGGTGTGAGATGCCAGAGCTACCACAGATGCCAGGCCATCATCACTTACACAGGCCTGGCTGCACGAACGAGTCATCACCATCCTCAGGTTCTCAGACCTGGCAGAGTAGAGTCTGGGGCATTCAGGTCAACACACACACTGCACATGATAGGGGCTTAAGCCTGCAGTGTTGTAAACATATTTAGCTCTGAAATCTACAGTATGACATGTACATTTTGAATATGGAAATACCTTGTACACACACCCACCCACATGCAGATTTTAGGCCACACCTGCCACAGCTTTCTCATACAGTAAGTGAGCCAATTATTTTATCTGATCAGCTTTACTGAAGTAACAGTGAAGTTCTGTGGAGTGAGCAGAGACAGATATGGTGCTCTGAGTCGGGCCTTATTTCAGGGATGTGAAGCAGCAGGTCTTAGATGAAAGAATGATTTATGGCATAAGATGACCAATGCTGTGGCAATCTGAAGAGGAAGACAGCTGACTGCTCAACAGATTATATGCTAAGGTATCTTATCAGACCCAGAAGTTGAGTTTGTATTGGGAGCTCTTTTAGAAACTATTGGTATATTATCTAAACATTTCCCTTGGGATTTGAACAGAACAGCTATACACTCACCAACCGCTTTATTAGGTACACTGTATAGTTGTATGCACTTCAATGTGACACTTCCGCCTTAACATCTGTGTTTATGAAGATAAAAATGTTTCAGTTTTTGGTGAAATTGTCATAAATGTATTAATTCAATAATATGTGTATTATTGAGGTCATAGTTAAAGGTGGTGTTGTAGTAGACTATATTATATTTGGATTTGTCTCTTTATTTTTGCCCTCCCCACCTACATGCATGTGTTTGTGGGACATTTAGTGTTAGACACTGAAGGTTTGTTTTTAGTTCACATCAAGAAAATGAGTCCCCACAGTCATGAAGTGGTGAGGATTCCCTCTGCTCAGCTGATGATTGTCCAACATCGAGCTTGTAAGTAGTTCAGGTACCGGGGCACAGGATTTATTAAACATAGCTATACACATGGTTTTTATTCTAGATTAGTCTCAAAAGTGAGGGATTAGCTCTTCAAACTCGCCATTAGGTAAATGGGAAAAGGCTATGGTCCAGTCATCAGGGAACATGAACTGTGGCCCAGTTCTGGCCATTTTTGTGTCAGTCTGGGTTTCTATCTGAGAAAACAGACAGACCGCTCATGTATGTTTGTTTGTGGCTCTTAAAGTACATGAAATGATGAGTAATAACTTGTAGAGTGTGAGAAGAATGTCTGTACCATGTAGGTGGTCTTGATGGGCTGGCACAGTTGACACAAATATGAAAGAGTAGGCCAGCCTCCACCTCCATCAATCACCCACACAAACACGCACATGCAAATACACAGAAATGATTATAAATTTTACAGGGTGGGTGAAAAGTAACTAGGAATTAAAATTGGCTATAATGCCTAGTTACTTTTTACCCACCCCGTATATAAAAATCTATCA